CATTTGAACACGACATAATCAATAAATTTTATCTCTTTGGTCTTCTTTCACTTATGGTTCATCCCCTCATCCCCCTCATATCGTCGTTCCAGCATCACCATTATTAATTTGTATTTAATTCAAATTTGCATGGTGAACCACATTGATTCAATATATAACAAAATTAATTACCCACCTCTAACAAGCTTACGCCAACATGTAATTGGTTTTTACTTAATGCATGGTTATGATTATTAGCTAATTGAGGATCATTCGCTAAACATTAACTTGATCGACAGTAGCTAACACTGAGATTTTTTTTAGTAATGCGACTATAAAGTTAGGTTTGTTGTCTGTTTTTGTTTTCATATTCGATAGGAATCGTCTTTTATATCTCCTTATAATTTTCCATTTTTTGATACATAATTATCAATTTCAATGGGGTTTCGGATGTGAAATCTACTATTTTTATATCTATGATATAGGTGTTGGCTTTAGGATTACAAAAATAGATTTTGAAGTGATTATGTTTACTATGAAGCCTGAATTCAACATTACTTGGAAAAATTAGTTGCTGTAGTGATGTATCTGTTTGCATAGAAACTCCAAAATTCGTTTGTATTGATTTTGGTTGTGGCTTTATTAGTATTTGAAATTTAAGAGATTGAACATGCTAAATTTATTGTAAGAAAGGTTCAAGAAGCAAACATAAGACTTGTTATCTACATGGTCGAAAACTACATAAATTTTTTCTAAGTTAGGAGTTATATGCATGTGGTTTTTCTCCGAAAATATCAGGTATGGAATTCAATTGTCAATTGAAGCTAACAGAGATAACTCATAGCCATACATTTGTGAGGTGTTCTTCACTTTCTGGAAGATTGCAGGTGTCAAATATATTGCCTAGAGAAGTAATTAAGAGAAATTCTTATTAACAAGTTTTACGTTTGTCCAAATTATCATTTTCTTTTTTAGAAAAAGTCACTCTATTATATGGTTTATGGTTCTATAATTCTGGATGTACTTAACTATATCATCAAATACGTATAACTTTTTACTTTGTTTGTGTTTGTTTTATAAGATTGGAAATTGAAAAGAACCATTGGGTAAGCAGAAATATTATACTTTTAACATATTTTGAATTTGATTATGTCTCTTTGCTTAACCAAACGATAATTTTCTCCTAACCTCATTACATAAAGGTATGTATGTCACTTTCTAGATATGTATTCGGAAAGTTACTAAAATATACTTTAACAAAAAAAGTTACTAAAATCTAAAAATCCGAAAGAACAGTGACGAGACAAAACTTTTTTTTTTCTTTCATCTAAATAGATTGTATTGAGTCAAATCTAGTGTTACAACAGAGAGATTAGGCCGGTTTATTCCCATCCGTTGCCAAAAGAAAACGAAACCATTTGGAATCCAAAGCCGAAAAAAAGGAAATGAAGACCAAACGATTAACGACAATAACAAGACCTGAGTCATACCATCCTAACAAGAACACACAACATTCCACGACCTAATAACCAAACATAACCAAATTACTTCCCATTGCGAATCAAGTCTACCTTTGCAAATAATGACCATAACTTCATACTGTGGCAAGGTGGAAATACTAAAGAATACTCCAAACACTTCCACAAACGGCGGGAATAATATTACCAACACCTCGATAGAAGCCAAACCAAGTAGCAGATTCCGAACATATCTTGAATGTAGAGACAAGGAACGATCCACGCCTATCCAGCTTAAACCAAGCAAGAAGATCAAGCTAGCCAAATAACGGAACCGGATAGCACACAATAGGCCAAACAGAGGAGAATCGCACGAAGATAAGATGGAGAGAGCCAAAAGCAGAACCAAATCAGTCTTGAAACACCAACCCTTCAAACAAACCGACGACTACAATACAAAAGCTTAAGCCAAGAACAACTCTAGAACACAAAGGAGATTGAGAGCCAAAAAAAGACCACCGCTGCTCGAAGTGACACAACTACAGAGCTCGGAAAGCCCGACAGACACATACGGATACCACCACCAACTCACACAAGGTCGTTTCATCAATCCCATTAAACATGTTACAAAAGCTTTCTTCTTGAACCATTCC